GAGAGAGAGAGAGAGAGAGAGAGAGAGAGAGAGAGAGAGAGAGAGAGAGAGAGAGAGAGAGAGAGAGAGAATGTAGGGAGACTGCCAAGAGGAGGCAAAACGTGGGCAGCATGCGAAAGAGCCCTTCTGGAATTGGTAAGGCACTGATCGCGGACTATGTACGAGTCCGCACAGAATCCTGCCTGACAAAGAGATAGACCACCCTTGCTCCGCTCTTTGTGTCTACCCCAGCTCCCTTTCCACTCTTTTGCGACCCACTATTCATCCCCCATGGTTTTTTGCTCTCTCGCCCCTGGCATCCCTTGTCCTTCTCGCAATTCAATTTTGAGCAGACAATCGTCTTCCCTCGAACACGACGCACCCTCATCATGATCTATTTTCCACTGTCTTCCCTCCAACGCAACGCACCTTCATCGTGACTGTAGAGGGCCAGAAAGGTAGCTTGTCTACATCATGATAGAGGTGCGTTGTGTTCGGGGAAAGGCCGTTGGCGTGTTGTTGTGGTTTGGAGAATTGATATTGACGTCTTTCAATGTTTTGCTGTTGGCCTATTTAGACGATTTGTTTTGGCCGGTTCGCCTATTGATTTCCCAAAGATGAAGGTATTTCCATTTATGTCGTTTTTTGCTTGTGTGCTGTTTAATGGAATGTCGATAGTGGAAGGCGGGCATTTAATTCTGAAAAGGTTCTGGGGGAATTATTGAGATCCCTACGTGACTTTTCTCAGCACCCTACGGCATGCAAATCCTTGTCTTTCCTATTTGTCGTCGATTTTCACCACGAAACGCTGCCCTGATTTCCACCCCTCTTTTCCTGCAAAGCTAAGGAAAAAAAATATATATATAAATTAAATTTAAATCATATTAATTGTATAAATTGTGTAATTTTGTTTCCTAATTTTTCATGTCTTTCCACGTGCTGGCAGTCAATGTATAATTATAAGATTGATTGTCCGATTCTCTCGTTTTCTTTCTGTTTGCCCCCCCCCTTCCGCACCCCCGCCTCCCTGGCCCCCGCCCCCGGCCCCATGGCCGGTCTTCTGAGGGTATACTCGTACGAGGACTGGCCTACAGTCTTTCCCCGTATACAACGTACGGTCATTATAGCTGAATTTGGGGCATCTTTCTGTCTAAATTCAGCTATAAGGACCGTTCGTTGTATTCGGGGGAAGACTGTAGTTGCATCTGACTGCAATTACGGCCGACTCTGGATGAATCTGACCGCATTTACGTCCGGAGCTGAGTCAAAAAAAAGTCCTAGTGTGCGTATGCACTGACGCCGGTGTACAATTTGCAGAGAACTCGTCCCATCGTTTTGGGGGTGAAAAAACTACTTCTGGCCACTACCTTCCTCCGAATAGAACATAACGTCATTATTGCGGTATTCAGACTGAAAGAGACCCCTAGTGCAGCTATACTGACCGTACGTTGTATTCGGGTGAAGAAGGTAGGTACCAAAGTAACGAGTATCCAAGCGCTGGAAGCGTAGAGGCAGTGTGCAAATTGCATGCCCGTCTGATAGGGGCATGCCGAAGCCTCAAATATGAGGTTATAAGAAGGGCATACTGGCAATATCGGAAATTAGAGGGGCGGCTTGCAAACCACGACAAGTTGTAGCGGCACATAGCAAATTTTTTCCTTTCTGTTTTTTTTTCCTGAGCAACAACAGGGAGAAGCTTAGCCTCCTTGTGACTTGTTGACTTCAACACGTATGCGCTGTTGATTGGACTTCATCCGCTAGCCAAAAGTAGCCAGCTGCTTGGTCGTTGACGTCGACTGTATATTTATTTCGTTCATTCACTGTTTTTTCGTACTGTCGGATGGTTTAGGAGGCGACGGTTTATTGATTGGTGATTTGTTTGATGATTTTATTGATTGGTGATTTGTTTGATGATTTGTTTGATGACTGATTGGCAAATTGGAGTGGACTGTTGCGGAGTAGTTGTAGTGATTGCTTCATGTGGTTGTGAGCACATGGATTAGGGGATTGATTGGCCGGTTTGGCTACTTGGTTTATTGGTTGATTGGTGAGTGCAGATTGATTGGCAAATTTGAGTGGACTGTGGCGGAGTAGTTTTAGTGATTGCTTCATGAGGTTGCTGGCACATGGATTAGGTGAAAAGTGATTGGTAGATTGATCGGTGATTGTTGGCTAACTAGTTCATTGGTCGGTTCGACTGGCTGGTTGATTTGATTAATTGGTGACTGCAGATCTGCTAATCTCTTGATATGACAATGAGCAGATCAATGACATTAGCTTATTGATGATCGATATTTGCTTATTGGTCGATTGATTAATTAATTTATTTATTGATTGATTAATTGATTGATTGATTGGTTCTGGGTGGATTTCTTAGTTCGTTAATCCAGTGGTCGCCAGATAGGTGAAGTTACTGATTGGTCGAGTAATTAGTGCTTGATTTGCTGATTTGGTTGATTGATTTGTTGCCGTTAGGATTTTTACTAAGTAGTGGATTCTTACTCGGTAGTTGGATTAAGTACTCGGTTGATTTCCCCCGGTACTTGGTAGCTGGATTAACTACTTTGTGACGTGGATTGAGGTGTTGACGATTGATTCGCTAATTGGTTGATTGAACGTGATTCCCAATGCATGCATGGTTGATTGCCACGTGAATTTGCTAATTGGTTGATTGGATTGGTCCCAGACGGAGTAGTTTGTTTCCAGTAGCTTGTTGGGAGTTGGTGGTTGGGACTGATTACCTGTGGTCAGGAGTGAACGACAGTTGTTTTTCTGATCGAATAGTTGGCTTTTGTTTGTTTGTTTGTTTGTTTGTTTGTTTGTTTGTTTGGGTGATTGATTGGTTAATTAACTGATTGGGAGTGAATGATTGGGTCCAACTAGTTACTTGGTCAGGTAGGGGTTGCTTTCCGAACTATCGAATTGCTTTCAATGCGTAATCGATGATTGATTGATGTCCTGACTAGTTGATGATTGATTGGTTTCATTGGGTGATTGATTGGTCAGTAGCTGATTAGGAATGGATAGTTGGGTTCAACTAATCACTTGGTCAGGTAGGGTTGTGATTGCTGGGGCGAAAGTTATCGTTGCTTTCCGGATTATCTCATTGCTTGCAGTGGATGATCGATGATTGATGGCTGTGTTGACGAGTTGATGATTGATTGGTCTCATTCGATGATTGATTGGTCAAGTAGCCGATGATGAGTGAATGATTGGGTGTTACTAAGGTCATGTAGGTTATCATCGCTTTACAGATTGTCTAATTCCTTTCAGAGGATGATTGATGATTGGTGGATTCACTGGCTCGTTGACAACTGATTTGTTTTATTGGTTGACGAGTGCTCTGATCCGATGTGGATGATCGGGTCCAATTAATTACTTGGACCTGCTCTTGGGGGGGAAGGAGGGGGAAGGGAGCATTGCTCGATCACAAATTCTCATTTGCTTTAGGGATTGTCTGTCCCTTTGCTTTCAGGGGATGCTCGATGGTTGGTGGATGAACTGACCGGTTGGTTGGGTGATTGTTCGGTTTGCAATGCTGTGCACATGATGTATGCAGTTCAATGGGTGCAAGTGGCGGGGTGGTCAGTTGAAGGTGGAGAAGGCAAAGGAACATTATACGGATCGTCTCCTTCGCGAATGGGAGGCTGCTGCGAAACTTGCTGCGGAGGAAGAGGCAAAGAGTGAAGGGAGCTTGCTAGCTGCGGCGAAGCAGGAAACAGTTGAGGATGGAGGGTCAGCAGGCGTGACCGGGGAGTCGAACAAATTGCGCCCATTTCCGTTTAGTGACCCAAGCTTCAGCCATAAGCTTGTGGAGCTCAAGCCTCTGAAAATTGCATGGCATCATTGTTCTAAGAAAGTAATGTCTCTCTCGGTTTCCTTTTCTTTTCTTTTTTTTTTTTGTCTCTCGGTTTCCTTGTCAACTACGTACCTTAACCTTCTCCTGAAGAATACCAAGACACCAGCTTCCCTTTTCGCTGCAGATTGAACATCCCAAGAAAAGTTTTTTGAGATGCAGTCTTGTTTTTCTGCTACTGGTCTGTTGCCTAATGTTTTTGCCGTTGCTTACGTCTTTCCTTCTTTCTCTCCTTGTCCTCTATATATGCACACATAAATATATGGCCGTCACTATGCGGCCATGCTGTAGGTTCAGATCCGGTGGTGTGTCTGGAGTGTATTTTCTGGCTGTGACAGACCTCTCTTTGTTTTCTGGGTGTTTTGCTGGCTTATGATGGGCTGGTAACCTGCAGTCTGTAGAGTTTTCCGTCGCGTGTGGGCGAATGATAGTCTGCTTCGATTTTTGTCACAGGTACCTTGAAGGCAGTGTTTGGTGGTCCCCACCACCTCAGAGGGGTATCAGTTGTCGGGCAGTCATTGATGCTTGAGCCCAACCGGGGTTAAGGTGGATCATCACTTAACAGTATCATTGGGTAGGGACTCTGAAGGCTGTAGAGGATTAAGCCTCCTCATGAGTCGGTGAACCTCTGACGAAACAGTTTGTCACAGCCTCTCGTGTGTTGTCCTCTGATCCCTCTCTGCCTACAATTCACCGGGCAGTTCTCTATGACAATATATATGTATTCATATATGTACACCAAGCTTCCTTATGACCACATTATGAATAATGTGACAGAAGCTGATGATGAAGCCCATGCCTATGCCCTTCAGCGTGCGCGAGCACACATTCACGTTGCGATGCCCTGAACATGGTAATTCGAGGACCTCGTTGTGGCGAATGGGCAACTGATTCAGGCCAGGACACCCTTTCCGTTTCTCGGATTCTCCGACATCTCCGCTTTGTTGCACAAAACACTTTTTGACACGCTAGAGATGGTACACACTTTGGAAACAAATTATCGTTGTCTCAATGTTAACAAGTGCTGGCGCAGAAATTTATAATCCGATGCTATATTGGGATGAGGCCGCTTTGCTGATTACATTCATCAGCATGATCTTCAAGGCGCACAGCGATATGCTTTCACGTATCACCTGGTGATGATGTTCTTTCATGGGGGCAATTACCTCCTCCACCACAGAACTATGGCGTTGAGTGGAAGGAAACTACAGCGTCAGATGGCTTGTGTACGCTCTTAGGTATGCATTTCTGGGTCCGTTCTGATGACTCACTTTAAAGCAGCTTCCCTGTCATTCATTATCCAAGTGTGACCTCCAACATCCATTCCCGTCAACTGGCTCGTGTGTTCAGTGGGCAGTTGATCAGATTTGAACAGATCTGTAACAATTGGGGCGACTTTTGAACTGCGGCAACAACACTTAGTGGTAGCATGCTTTCTTGTGGGCATTCCCCATTGACTCTTTACTTTCGAACTGCGGCAACAACACTTTGTGGATGCATGCTTTCTTGTGGGCATTCCCCACTGACTCTTGCTAAGGGGTGGACCTGCTATATGCACTCCTGTCAATGCTGCTATCCTACACATGTATGCATCTCTCTCAGTGGTTCCGATGCATGCTGCGATGGTCCCTGTGTGATCCACTTTCTTCTTTGGCTCCACGACGCTCTTGTGCTGCCTCTGCTTGGTCATCCGCTGCCACTGCAGTTTCCACTGCGACAGTTTCCACTGCTACAGTTTTTACTGCTGCAGTTTCTACCGCTGCAGTTTCCACTGGTGCAGTTTCCACTGCTACAGTGTCTATTGCTCCAGTTTTCACTCCGACAGTTTTCACTCCGATAGTGTTCACTCCGACAGTTTCTACTACAGCGGTTTCCACCGCTGCAGTTCGTTCTACAGTTTCCTCTGCTGCAGTTTTCAGTACAGCAGTTTCCATAGCTGGAATCCTCCATACTGTACTTTTTGCTGCTATAGGTTCCTCTGCCGCAGCTCCGGTGCAAAGAACATCAGTCTCTTGACACTCACGTTTTTGTTTTGAAATCTTGCCCAATCCAACCCCCCCTAGCATCTCTGTCTGTGCTTGGCCGCAGACGACGGCGTTTATCCTTGCCACCCCCACCTCCTCCACTGTCTCGCTTGTGAAAAGACTCCGGTTCCCATTGTTGCCATTTTTCCACCATTGCCAGAGACATGTTCATCTTCAGTTTGCAACACCACAAGCATGCACTGCATTGTCACTTGCCTTGGGATCAGCAGCCTATTTTTTTGTCTGCCGCAATTGTCTCCACGCCTGCTCCACTGGTTGTTGCGGTTCTTTTGTTCCAAACGGCAATATCCGCTCTTATGCCTCCTGCAGATAGTCCAGCTTCCTGCAGGCAGCCACAACACCATGTTTTATGCCCTTCAGCGTTGGGCATTCACGACTCACCTGTACAACAGGATGTGGGCCCTGCCCAGAGTACACTCGCGATTCCAGGGGCAGTCTCTACTCAGGATGCAGCCTCATAACCCCACAAATTGTAGACCACATGGGGGATCTGCAAATGGGTAACCAGCGATGGCTGTATGAACTGCAGATTTGTGCCCCACCACACGCAGTCCACATGGGCGATCTGCAAATGACTGATCAGAAAACAACCCAAGACAGTTTGGGCTTGCAACACCATCTGGGTGATCTGCAAATTGTTGGCCAGCATCCGGCACACCAGCCTGAGATCCCCACCAGTTTCTGTGGTCTGACTGAAACTAACATCTGTCTTCACACTCTCCACCACCCGTTTTATACACCGTCAGCCTTCCTTGAAATTGCCCTTCAGCTTGATGCTGATCTCCCCTGCCTACAGCCAGAGGATTGTAATTATACCACTGAAAGAGGCTTTAACATTTCTGTCCTACAAGTAGCAATTAGGGACCACCAACTTGAATAACACAATGTTCGAGCAGGTGAGTAGAAAGCTCACCACAAAAGACCATGCATTCAGCATAGCGCCTATGGCCGTAAAATGGACATATAGTGTCCGGATGTGGAAGGTGCCTGCAGTCAAGAACGGAGGGACAGTCCTCTACACACACGGATGCAAAAACCATGTCACTGTAGTGATTGCGACAGCGACGATGAACATTGTTTGTGGCTGTGCAAAGGAGAAGGTCGCAGAGTGCTGATACATTGTCCTGCTGCAACACGGGTCCAGAGGAATGAGAAAAAGAGACAGCGGACGGTTTGGTGCAGCAAGAAAGCAGCATCATTACGTAAGAAATCAGTAGCATCAGTCATGGCATGGACCATGGAGCCGTTGTCCCACAGCTACCAGTGGTCAGAGGCATGTAAAATGGGCATGTAATGGCCTGGTCTGTCCACAACGCAGGCAGAGATCTTCCTTCGTTTTGACCTGCAATCGACATGCCATTTGTGGGGGGTGTATGATGGGCATGCTCAATGCCAGCCGTCGTGGCAATCCCTACACTTATAGAAATGGCTGGCGTGAGAATTGGTCGATCCGGGCCACCCGTGGTCCTATCAGCCCGACGGTCCGGATTTTCGGGCAATCTTAAGACTTTAAGACTTTGGGCCTGCCGAACGTCCTGGATCATCGCACGATCTTAAAGTCTTAAGATCGCAGGACGATCCTAGCCATGGACCCGGTAGGACCACGACTGGCCTGGGTTGTCGTGCCCGTTGAAAAGCGGGTGCGACGATTGGCCCTATCTGAGGCGGTGCAGCGACATGGTGTATAGGGCCACAGCGGTTCGGCCCTATCTTTGGCGGCGCAGCGACGCGGTGTATAGGGAACTTGACAACATGCACTCATGGCCCCACCCGTCCGCACAAGCACACACAAACCCACACGCATGCAAATGCATTGTGGGCAGACTGTCGGGGTTTGACCTCCTGATGAGTTGGTGAAAGTCCACCATGATAATGCTGACTGATGAAGTGACGATGAAGACGACGTTGAAGATGAAAGACAAGGAATATGTTCTACCAGGACAAGGTAAGATTATGATGGCGCCAGGAATCGAGAAACGGGCCAGAAACAGGCTATGGTGGATTCATGTATGGCGGAGGGGGAAGCCGGGGATGCATAGGGGATAGAGAACTGTAGGTTAAACATGTAAGGTGGGAGAAGGCAACAAATACATATATAAAATACTTGAAAATGGGAGAACGACAACAATACATGGACGAACACAAGAAAGTGAATACTGGAGGATGAGGAGAAGGAGAAGGTCGGAAGACGAGGGGGTGGAGGAAGGAAGAATGGAGGAAGAAGGATGAGGACGATGGGAACGAGGGGGAGGAGGAGGAGGAGGAAAAGGAACAGCAGGAAGAGAGAGGGAGGTGAAAGCCGAAAAGGAGGGAGGGTAGGGGGGGAGAAAGAGATGGAGCTGGAGGAGGGGAAATCGGAGGAGGGCGGTGGGGCGTTGAAGGTGTGGAATCACTTTTTTTTGTTTCCGTTTCTGTTCGTTTTGTTTTTCTTTTTCTTTTTGTGCGTGTGAGAGGGAGAGAGAGGGGGAGAGGGGGAGAGAGAGAGNGAGAGAGAGAGAGAGAGAGAGAGAGAGAGAGAGAGAGAGAGAGAGAGAGAGAGAGAGAGAGAGAGAGTCCGAGTGGCCACACAGAGGTATCGACGGTTTTGACAGTTTAGGCAGTTTTTCAGTTATTGACAGTCTAGGCTGTTTTTCGGTTATCAACAGTCTAGGCAGTAAACCCTCCCCCTTTAATCTACCCTAACTTATCGCTCCCCTGTGGAGCCAAGATAAGACCCTGATCCTCAGAACCCCTAAGACCAAGCACTCAAGCAGCCCTCCCTATGGCCCTACCCAGCATACTACAACCATGGACGTAGACGCCTTGGGCGGTGTGCAGGCAGCGTCTGTATAAATCTTACCATGGGTCGTCCCAAGGGGGGGGGGGGGTGTGAATGGCTTGTGCGTTATGAAAGGGGGTTTTATTTTTCGTTCGTCTTTTTTTTTTTTTTTTTTATCCTGACTGCCTGTTGATTTTATGTCTGACCAGTGTTTTTGTCTGGGTCTGTGGTCTTGGTGCCAGTGGGGCGCCCAAAAAAGTCATTGAAAGTTTTAGTGACGCCCTGGTTATCAAGAAGTCTCTTCCCTCTCCCACTGCTCTCCTAGCTCTATTGTAGATTCTCTAGCTAAAATTAGCTCCCCACCAATCAACCACCATTCAGTGACTAGCTGCCACTAGCATACAGCAAATGCTTTCTGCCCCTGTCTGCAGGGCTGACCCCATTTTTCAGTGGTAGTTTAATTGGCTGTTCTCCTGCAAGGCTGACCCCATTTTCAGGGCTGGCCCCGTTAACTGGATTTCTTTTTCTCTCCTTTCTTCTCCTTGCTCTCGTAACTGACTCTCTTCTTTCCTCCCCTCTTTCCTGTCCTCGTTTCTCTCCCTCTTCTTTTCGCGCCTGGTTTCTCCCTTTTGCTCCCTCCCGTTCACCCTCTTGTTCATGCTCTCTCTCCATGAGCTCTCTTCATTTTTGTTTATGGAATACCCAACTCATCCCTCCTCTCCCCTTGTTCTAATACGTGGCATGCGGTCTCGTGATTTTGGGTGGCGGGATGGGCGTGGGTTTCCGATTCTTGCAGTTGAAGGTTGTCCCTGCTGCAGGAGGTCCGGGCACAGGCAAGCACAGACGGAGCTTTCCTCGTGTTGAAGCACTGCCTTTGGAACAGATCCTGGAAGAAGCGGCCATGGGAGGGAAGCGCAGGAAAGTGGAGGAGCTGGCAGAGCTTGATAATGCCGGAGCAGCTCATCAGAATGATGTGGATAGTAGAGCAGGTAATCGCAGAAGGGGAAATGCTGCGAAGGTCACGCCAAGTGGAAGAGGGGCCATGGAGGATCCTGACATGACGACCCCTGTAAGAAAGGGGCCTATTGTGGGATTTAAACGGGTGCGACTTGATCAAGACACTGAAGACTGTGATCATCCAAGGCCGGCAGGCCAGCAGGGGATCGACCGAACCGGAAGAATAGCTGGTAAGTATGTAAATCATTATGTTGTGTCAACAACTGCAATTGAGATTGGACATTTTGGATTGGTCTTCTTTTTGCTCTTCGTATCATTATCGTCTCAAACTTGCTGGTTAGGTGTTTACGTGGTCTAATCAGTTGTATAATGCAAATCAAGATTGGATGTCGTGGATGCATGAGAACATACTGGTTGGGTGCTTCCTTGATTGGGCTATGCTTATGACAAGGGGAAACCAAAGCAGTGAATGTTTCTGCTCGCCTGAGTCATTTGCATCCACTGTAGACCTATTGTTAACGATCTGGCCTTGTTACCAGCATAACTTGAAGATGTCCGCCAGGGCAAAGGCAGGCAGACATGGACATGTGGACATCTGCAAACACGTTGCCATGCCTGTGTTTTCGTTGTCTGAGTGTGTGTGGCATGTTCGCTATACACAACTTCACAGAAAAAGCATCACTGCGCCAGATTGTTTCGTCGGACTTTCACCGACTCATCAGGAGGTTGAGCCCTGACATTCTGCCCAGGATGCATTTGACCGATGGACAAGGACTTACAACACCACCCAGAGTTAGGGATACCCCTGGGAAAAGTTGTAGACTTTACTTACACTCTGTGTGTGTGTGTGTGTGTGTGTGTGTGTGTGTGTGCGTGTGTGCTCGCGCATGCACACACTTACACTCTGTGTGTGTGTGTGTGTGTGTGTGCTCGCGCATGCACACACTTACACACTGTGTGTGTGTGTGTGTGTGTGTGTGTGCTCGCGCATGCACACACTTACACTCTGTGTGTGTGTGTGTGTGTGTGTGTGTGTGTGTGTGTGTGTGTGTGTGTGTGTGTGTGTGTGTGTGTGTGCTCGCGCATGCACACACACACACACACACACACACACACACACACAGAGAGAGAGAGAGAGAGAGA